GCAGAGCAGCTGGAGTGCTGCCGGGTTGGTCCCGCAGCGCCAAAGGACGGCGCTGCGGGACCAACCCAGCAGGACCCCAGCTGCTCTGCCCCAGGGGTCCCCGATTCAGCCGCTGCTGAAACAGATCAGCGGCTGATTCCAGGAAGCCCGGGGCAGAGAAGCTCTCTGCCCACTCCAGACCCCTCATAACACCCCCTTCTGATAGTCCGGCATATCTGATAATCCGGCACCCCCTGGGTCCTAAAGGTGACGGATTATCGGCAGTTTTACTGTATTTTCATCTGTACGTTCTTTAAGACGGAGGCTCACAGGCCGGGCAATTTTAGGTACAGCTTTTATTTAATTTGCCGCTTAAAAACAAAAGCTCTGAAAAAAAAAAAAAATAGTCCCTTTTTGCTTAGCACAACCACCTGCAGGTGCAAAGTCAAACTAAAAGCTGACAATTGAAGCCCACTGCTGGCGGCATGTTAAGAGCAAGCGATCACCCAGGACAGCAGCAGCATGGAGGCCAAAAACCAGCTTCCAGACGGAGTTAATAATGGCCCGTCAGGACAGCTTGGTTCATAAGAAACGGGTGTCCCTTACGCCACAGGATTCCAAAGCACTTTACTGCACCACTGATAATCAGTTCCCAAGCTACTGACCATGGCACTTGAAACATTTTATTTTAGTTTTTTTTACTCACCTAGGGGTACTCCACAAGAGGGATGTAAAATCCCTTTTAATTACAGATAATGTTTAACCAGCTAACTAATTAAATGGGGCGGGGAGGGGGAGTGCTGTTCCAGCCCCCGCTGGTTAACTGTAACCTGCAAAGTATCACTCAGAAGTGTGATGCTTATTGGTTAACCATTCACATCCCTACTCCACCGCTCGCCCTCCACCCTTCTACCTTGGGGTTCTGCGCAAGGACCCTTGGGTTGCAAAGGAATTAAAGGGAGCTCGCCTGCTCATGCTGGCTAACCTGGTGGTGGGACACGAGGGGAGACAGAGCACATGCAGGCCGAACGGACGCTGCCAGGAGCGCAGGGACACTAGCACACTTCGAGTGGAACACCTACAGGAACACTACACAAAGCAGCAGCTGTGGGATTCTTGCAATCCTCATCTCCAACACTGGAAGAGGAACCAAACTGATTTGCTCTTTCCCGTAAAGGGACAATTATCAGAACGCAGCACAGACATTTGCATCACCAGTTTCGCTAAACACAGCGGAGTGGATTGTTCTGATCCGATACAGGGCTCCAACGTGGCAGCTGCATTACAGGGCAGATCGCGGGACTTGATGCTTTGCAGCCTGCGGAGGCTCTCACAAAGAGGAAGCCGCTGCTCAGTGGCAGCAGAATTGGATATGAAGATTAAGAAAGATTTGCAAAGTCAGGTTTGACCACCAAAGAGATGGAAGTGGTCTGTTCAACATGAAGAGGTGTGTCTATCCCAGCACTGGTCAGGTCTGAGACTAACAGATGATGCTCAGGGAGGTTCTGCTATCTCCAGCAGAACGTCAACCTCCGGTTTTAGTCTCATACATGAACTACTCATGCATCCCACCGCTGCATGAAACTTAAGCATCATACAGGTTACAACTTCTAACATCTCAGGGCAGGTGTGTGCTTTGAAACCGAGTACACACTTCAACCTGACAGGCTGTTATAAACGCAGACAAGCAGAGTGATTGCTTAACCAGCGTATTAACCACATACCGACGAAGAGTTGAAATCACAGCAGGACTAGCGAGACCAGGCTTTCGCATGAATGAAATAACATGATATACGTCAGGAGCTCGATTTGATCCAAAGAATAAGCAACATTTTTCTCCTCACTGATAAATTCAAACAGTTTTGCCTTCGGGGAGATGGGAGAGCTACGGTTTCCCACCCTGTCTCTTCAGCCTTAGTTCCAGCTTTGTTCTAGCAGCACTAGCTGTTAAACAGTGGGGGTTAAACCCTGCAGGAAGCAGCTACCTTAGCTACCTCAATAGCTCAAGCCCCAGATGACAGTGTTTAATATGGTAGCAAAATACAAGAAAGATTGTTACATATAACTGCATATATGGAGACTCTAGCACTACATGCACAAATGTGTCATACAAAATGGCTTAGGCTGCTAACCTGATCATTGGCAGGAAAGACTTCTTGTAGACATCTTCAATGCTCTGGAGGTATGCAGGAGACACCTTTTTCTCGTATGGCTAACCACAAAGAAAACAAAATGCTGTGAAATGTGTGTTTGTTTTCTTTTTACAGTGGTACAGATTCCAGAGATCCCAAGTAGAAGCCATGGCTACCATGCCATCTGTTGAAACACAGCTACTGCATTAAACAGCCAAGCAGTCATTTACATCCACATGGATTTATGAAGCCTTTACAAATTACGAGAAACATATGGAGTATTTGGGATTACAGAATCTTGTATTAACATAGACAGCACTACATATGTGGCAAAGGGAATAAACTGCAGCTGCTGGCGAATCATAGCTTTGCACTGTATTTTTTGGTACGTTCTCCATAAAGTTGAATACATTTGCTTTGCAATTTCTTTAATAAGGGTATATGTGAATAGGAGACCCTTGGTATACCAGTCTGGAAAGACACAAAAAGGCAAGTACTGCTGAAGGATGCAGACACACCTACTAGGCCGAGCTGAAAGGTGGAAGAATCCTGATTTTTTGAAGCTCCCAAACAGAATTACCAACCAACAACAGCCTCCCCCCCCCCCAGATTAATTTTCACATGACTAATCCGATCTACCTGCACATTTTGGGAAGTTATATATAGTCAGCTGGGAAAGGAGAACAAAAGGGCACTACCCATACCAAACTCTTTCAGCAAGTTAATCAGAATGGGCCATTGACCATCCTTCTGCCTCTTGAGGTTTGACCAGGACATGACAGATTAGAGCACACACCCCAGATACAATCCTCTCTCACATTTAAGCTGGCAGATGGGCATCAGTGCACTCTATACAAAGCCCAAGAACTTTTTCATACAAGTCAAGTGGACAGAAAGTCTACTGCCAAGGGGTTTACCCATCAACTGCAAGCGCCAGTTACTCCATAAAGCTCTTCCATTACATTTCCTGAGTGCACAGTTCATCGCGATTCCTTGCTTCCCTTAAGAGCAGATCGGCTCTGCTCTTTCCTACCCATTTTCAGCCTGATTCTTGCCCGGGAGGTACAGAATGCCCTCCCCTGCATGGCAAATATAGTATGTAACAACTCGGGGAACCAGGCTCCTCAGTTAGCGGAGCACACTGAGGAATTTTTCTACTGCAAGCTTCTAATAAGCGTTCAGTCCATGACAACTACAAACCATTAACGTAGACAGGAGATCCAGAAACTGCTGCTAACCGGCAATGGGACAGTAATAAAGACAGGCACCCTCAAGGCCTCGGCTCCTGAGAAATGCTGTTGTTGGAGCCATTTGTGGCAGAAGAGAGAACTGCAGGCCAAGAAGACCAGCTCAATTTTCACCAAGATGAGCAGAGGGAGATAAAAATTACAAACCTCTTATGGCACTTTATAAGGTTGGATTCAAAAAAGCAGCTTAATTTAAACAGAGATGCTCTCCTCTGGTTAAGAAACAGCCTCTTGTTACTGTTGCATTAGGTGATATCTTGTTCTTTGAACAAAAGAGTAACATTCGGCCACGGCTGGACTATCTGGCAAGTGTGTCATAGTGAAGAAAGGGCAAGATGGTGACCTACAAAGCAACCTCGGGCCAGAGACAAATCCTAACCTAGCACAATGTCAGCACAGTGAAGTTACAAAAAACTGCCTGTGCTTTCCCCCACCCCCACCAAATACACCTTCCCTTGACAACGGTCACTTTTGCTTTGACACCACCACAGGGATTTCCAAGCCTGTGACCAAAGCTGCTCCCAGACTCTCTTACCACACACACACACACACACACACACACACACACACACAGGCCATGTCTACACTATATGGAAGATCGACATGGCTGCGGTCCATCTGCCAGAGTTCGATTTAGCGGATATAGCAAAGACCCACTAATTCCAACTGAGAGGGAGCGCCATCAGCCCTGGTACTCCTGCTCCTCACAAGGAGTAAGGGAAGCCGCTGGGAGTGTTTGTTCCCAGCAGCCTCCCACTGCGTGGATGGCGATTTAAGATATGTTGACTCCAGCTAAGTAATTTACGTTGGTGGAGTTGCGTGTCTTAAGTTGACCTCCCCCTTGAATGTAGGCCAGCCCAAAGGGCTTTGGAAAACAGATGTGATCATGTGTTTGTAGACATCTGAACAATAGGGTTTTAAAATGTTCATGGTTCAATTCCTCACTCAGATCCAATGTCCTGTAGCCTTTGAAGAAAGTGCAGGGTAAACATCATTAGGCTCTTTTAGCCCATCTGGCAACAGTTACTGATACATGGCCTGATATCAAGGAAAGTGAGGGGGTTAACTAGTTCAGATTATCTCTTAATGAAATCACTCCACAGCTTTCCTGCTCTCAGGCAGTGTTACTGACCCGTTAGAGGAACAATTTTAAAACAAACTGCTATAGAACACCAGAAGTCAAACCATTAAAAAAAAACATTATTCTTCCAGTGCCGTATGTTAACAAAAGGCAGATTCTCCCAGTTGTCACAGAAACTATCCTAGTTTTTAGGAGACTCTGAAAACAAAAGGGAGAAGACCCTTGAGTTTCACAGAACATCTCAGTTTCAAGAGAGTTCAAGCCCCAGAATCGCAGACTAGGAAGTGAAATCATTTCTGTTACAACGACTAATTGAAAGATTAGCCAAACCTCTGCGTACTGTGCACTGAACAGGACTTAAGAGCCGGCAGCAAGGCCCTCTGGTTTCTGTAGCATGGGGCCTCTACGGCAATTCCATTTAAATATTAAAAGTTTTTCACGGAGCCGAAGGTGAAAGTTAATAGCAATCCGTACAGTAGCGCTGTCATCTGACTGACAAGCTCCATGCAGTTTATACAGACTGCATGCTGATGATCTATAATGGTTGTCAGAAGGGGAGACGGCAGCTGGATAAGCCCAGGCAGAGCAGGACATGTGTACTAAAATGATTAGCGGAGAAGGCCACAATTTCCAATACAAGTCAGGCACTTAACACGCTTGGGCTCCTGATCAGAACATTAACTAAAAACCGAGCTAACAATCAGTGTTACCTTTCCTTTCTCTTGAATCCTTTTCTGTACCTCTGAGACTGGTACATCAATATAGATCGCCAAATGAGGTGGCAGGAATTCACAGATAGTGATGCCCTTGATTTCATTATAATGATCAACACCTGAAGAAACATGAGAAGAGCAGGGAAGCACCTTAACTGGAGAATACAGAGGGGTACGGATTTCCATGTATGTTATGAAGCTCAAAAACAAACAGAAAAGAAGCACTTTGATTTTGACTCCCATCATCCCAACCAAGCGAATGATCAATACCGTACAGCCTCACAAAAGGAATCCCTCAGCCTTTGTAACTGCATTTCATTTTCACTCACTTCTGCCCTGCAGAAGTGTTTCTGAAGTCTTTTCTCTCTGCAAAGATTTCAGCTAGAAGATACAGTTCAGGCTGGGTTTGTCCCCCACAGGCAAGGGGATTTAGGAAATTGAAAGCTGAAACAGCCTTACAAAAATAGAAGACAAGCAACAAATATTAGCCTTTCATATGCCACTATTACATGATAGGGAACTTTACTTCTGGCTTCCTGCTAACAAGGACTTCAGTGAATCTGGCAAAGATGAAGAGTCTCAGCCTAACAAGCCACAAATCCCAGGTCCCTCTAATTATTTTGTGTCGGCCCTTTTGCCCTCCCGCCATCCCCTTCTCCCCTGAGCTTGCAGAAAGATGACTCTTCCCACACCCTGCACAGGCAGGTTCTTAAATAAAGGGCAGAGGCAGCTGTAGAGACTGTCTGAAGGAGGCAGACTGCTACTTCCACTAGGGACTGCCACAGTATGAGGAAAGCCTCCCCCACTGAAAATGTGGCAGCAAAGGCTATGTCTACACTGCAGCAAAGTCGACTTAAACTACACAAGTCCAGCTTGGGGCTCTACACCATGGGGTGGGGGCGGAGGTGTCAACAGGAGCAGCTCTCCTGTTGAGCAGGCTTCTCTTGGTCTTCTCGTGCAGGGTAGACTAACAGGATCCACCGGAGAGCCATCTGCAACCAATGTGGCAGATCTTTGGTGCCCCGACTCTCTACTAGGAAAGTGGGTACCCTAGGTAATCACCACCAGCTCTACGTACCTGACTGAGATCAGTCTGGGTGTAAACATTCCCACAGCAAGGCCCTACTCCGTCACTGTGCTCTCACACTTGCCGATGCAGGCCTGAGGGCATAACCCAGCACCACAGTGGAGAGATTTAAGATTCTTTCCCAGTGAAATGTGGGAGAATCTCTCTCTCTCTCTTTTGCAAAAAATTGTGGGAAACCCAGGAGACCTGTCTCCACTCAAGTGATCTTGCCTGCATCTTCACAGCAAAGCTGGTGCATGCCAGCCAGATTTGAAGTGGAACCTGGGATCCAACACGCAGTCCCGGTCATGTAAATGAGCCTGAGCTTAAAGCACCTACAAACCTGGGTCAGAGATTTTTTCTGTGTGGATGGTGGGTGGAGGGTAATGAGTTAAAATCCAGATTTAGCTGGCAGTAAAGAAAGACCCTGTGGGTATGTCTGTACTAGGGCTGGCCTGGGTCAGCTGACTTGGGCTCATGGGGCTCAGACTATAATGCTGTTTAGCCCTAATTAGCTGTCCTGCATGGTGCCATGAGGCCAGAGACCAGGTAATGACTTGAAGATTGTCTGGTCCTCATAAGAGGCAGCAAGAGTGCCATTAGGGGGAGAGTTGCAAGGAAGAGGAGACCTTCTGCAGATGTTCCTGAATCAGGAGAAAGAACATAATTGGATAGGAGGAACTTGTGTTCAACAATTTTAACCTTAAAAGAAATAAACCTGAAACACTGAAGACGGCAGCTAGAGATCTTGTTACACAAGTCAGTAGGATGGCTCACTGGCTTAATGAATCCTTCAAATATTTAAGGATTCAGACTTGCTACCTTTCCAGCTGCTTACACGGCCATCAGATTCCTCACAGACAGTGTTACAAATTATGTTTCTTTTCACAGGTAGGGACTTACATCGTTTGTGGATATAGCCTTGTTGAAACATCGCTTCCATGAACACAAAGTCGCTGTAGACGGAGCGTTCCATCACGACACCTTGTCCTACGGTTACAAACATGTTCTAATCATGAAAGGCTCAATAAAACTCTGTTGCAACATCTCAGATCACAAGCCACGGTGAAGCTCTTATATTTACGTCATCTTGGAACACGCTCTTCTCTGAGCAAGTTAACGTACCAAACGAGTAAAGATTTCAACCCTCAACATCATACCAGGCACACATTCAAACGAACATACATCTCTAGTACCACTGAACGTACCGACTGACTCTCTTAACGTATCTATTTCACACTTTTTACCATGATATCCAAATGCAATAAGCAATACGTCATGAGGAGACCCCATCTGGTGTCTAGTCTTCTTTCAGAAATGTGGATTGTTAAAGTGAAGGCAAGGATATTATTGTTCCTCCTTATAGGAAAGTGCTCGCATATCTAAAAATTCACAAAGGGCACCCACATACTAGACTGAGGGTGCCCTTAGAAATACACATAGCAAACACAGCCTGGACAAGGTGCCTGAGTTAATGCTGTTGTTGGAATCTAAAAGCATACTTAGGATACAAAAGTGGCTAAAAAATAGCAACTTCTTATCCAACCAATCTGCTTCTCTCATTTGCTTACTTTACACTGATTACAGTAAGTCTTATTTTTTCATCTCTGTTACTGAGGAAGACCTGATGCAACTAAAGAGGAGGAAGACAGATTTTTCTTCTGGTTTATACATTATCACCAGGAATACAGATCCTGTGATATGCCAGAAATACCACACCTTAACTTTCAGATTCCAGGTCAAGCTTGCAGGACTAGATGGTAGAAACCACTCCTCTCTACCCCCTCCATCCTCTAGGACATGGGTTCCCAAACTGGGATCATGCCCCCCGGGGGGGGGGTAGTGAAGAAATTCCAGGGGAGGCACGAGGCATCCCGGCCCCACCTCCTCCATTAAATTTTGCTGCCCTGGTCAGTTCTTTTCTTTTTTCTTTTTTTTTGTGCAACAAGTTTTGCTGCTATTTTTTATGGGGGGGGGAGGGTTTTTCAAAAATCAAAAAGGGGGGTGTGATGCTGAAAAGTTTGGGAACCACTGCTCTAGGATTCCTGGTCAATTCTGTTTAATCACAGCATGGCCATGGGTATGGCTTCTTACAAGGCAACATACATTTTTATCCCAGAAGATGACTGTACAATCTGAGTGATATATTTTTGGACTTTGATTTTAACTGTGCCCTTTTAATAGTTATAGTCAAAAAGCCACATTAACATTTCTAAGTTCAGTTTCCACTGGAAAATTCTGCCAAGTTGACTTGACAGGTTATCAATGTAGCTCTGCCTCCTCCTCCCCCCACCCTCCGCCCGCCTTGACAGACCTAATGAAGCTCACCATCACAGCATGATGCCTTTTTGACAGGCATAGCTTAGTCTCAGTGATACTTTTCTAACAATACAACTGTTGGGTTTTTTAATGATTCAGAAGGTTTCCCATTTTTAAACACTATAAAAAGGACCATTCAAAAACTTGTGGATTAAGGAGATATTATATTTTAAAATGCAGCATGGAGGCCAGCCAAACTGATAAAGGTATCTTAATCATGTTAACTACTCTAGAACCCAAATTCATCACTTAGTTTAGAAACCATACTTAACCTGTAGACAAGAGCAGCTCCAGTGCATTAGAATACTGCAAAACACGGTTAGTGTACAACCAGTTTTGTAGGCGATATGAATTTCCATCAGGACATTTCGGATCATTGTAAAATTTCTCTAGATTACAAAGACCATTAAATTTATCATCCAGCAGTGTTCCATCTCCTGTGACCCTGTCCAAATAATGGGTATCTGCTTCTGGGAAATACTGCATACCTGAGACAAAGAGGAATCAAAATATTATTATAGGTTGCTTTGGTTTAAAGGGGACATTTCCTATTCATTGTGGTCATTTTTAAAATTGTGTAAAGTGAAATTATTGTATTTACAGGCATGCATACTCTAACTCATCTCTGCAAGTTCTGAATGTAATATTTACTACACTATGTTCTCCAGTGAATTTCACCATGCCATAATAATTAGAGATGCACCACCAAGTTAAAAAGTTAAAAGCTTTCAGTTTCTTCTTCCTTCTTCAAAACGACCTCTAAGCTGTTGTCCTGACCAGCCATTTCCCTGTCCACCATTCTTATAACCTCACTCTGGAGCTGAGAGAGCAGTCTTACTGCAACATAATACAAGACAAACTACTCAGAAAATTCCCACTGACCTCCTTGGGATTTCTTCCTCCAACACCCCTACAATGGCCCACGCATGTGGAAAATGTGACATCTAGAAATCCCAGTTTGCCATATGTTTGGTATTCTCATTGCTGGTCAAATCATGACATTAATTGTGGCAGCAAAGAACTATTTGAGCCATCCCAATCTACTGATACGTGATGAATCAGTGCTTTTGCTTGTACAAGGATTGTAATAATGTGTTATGCTCCATAAAATAGCATAAAGGAAAGAAAAAGAAATCAGCTATACCTAGCTTTTCTGCTATTTGTTGTGCAAGTTTGCCCTTCCCAGAAGATAAGTTGCCCTCCACAGTAAAGATTTTGCTGTATTCATTGAACTTTTTGGTAGCTCTCTCTCCCAGTATATAAGACAACCAGCCATACCGCAACTTCTGAGAGCTCATGTGAAGCTTTGCCTGCAAGAAGACAACCACCAAACTAATGAATTCAAGTTGTTAATATACATAATAGTATGCTAAAATCAATACAATGATCCAGAGGACCCAAATCAGGATTATTGCCTTTAATTTGTACAGTACAATTAAAGGCATCATTCCCACCTTGGAAAATTTACAGTTTTAGAACCTGTAATCAGGTCCATGAAAGTACTGTACTACCAAATGCCCCTCAGGCCTGATTATAGAATCAGGATCTATTAAACAAATATCATTTAACTGCATCGTAATCCAAGAAGTGAAGAAAATGGTATCAAAGGGTACGGTTAGACTGGCGGGTTTTTCCTGGGATACCAGAGCTATCCCGGAAAAAGTCCACCGCGTCCTGGGAACATGTTTGCTCTTCTGCTTTTTTTTTGCGGAAGAGCAAACGTGCTCTTTCAGGGAGTCCTACTTACCTCTTTCTAGGTCTAGAAGGGGCCAAATGGTGGACAAGTCTCTTCTGGAAAAGCAATTGGAAAAAGCTACGCAAATTGTGGAGTGCAATTTGCATATTTTTTTCTGATAGCCTAACAGAAATCACGAGGGATTTATAGTGATTGAATACATTAGTACAAAATAGAACGTGGTCAGAAGAAAAGGACCGATATCCTTAGTCAGAAGTGCCACAAATCTTTAGTGACTTATTTTAAGAGTATTTATTTATTACAAATTTTATACATATTTATGTCCACTACTCAGTTTAAGGCCATAAGAGACCATCCTGGTCATCTTGTCGGACCTTTTCCTTAACAGATTATAGGAACCTCACAGTTATTTCTGAATCGAACCCATGTTTGTTGAGCCACAGCATATTCTTCAGAAAGACATTCAAATTTGTTTTAAAGCAGTGGCGAAACCACCATATCTTTATATGTATATTGTTCTAACAGTCTATTGCCTGCACTTTTAAAAAACTTTGTTCCCAATTTCTAATCCAAAAAAGTTAAACTCCATTTTCCAACCATTGGATGTCCTTACATACCTTTTCCTGCTAAATTAAAGGATCATCTATTAACAAAAATTGTTTCTCCACATTCACACATGAAGACAATGATCAAGTCACCTCTTGACCTTCCTTTGGATAAACTAAATAGATTGAATTGTAAGGTAGGTTTCCCCAGATCGCTAATGATTCCTGGAGTACACAGCAGTTTTTCCAATTCCCTTCTGAAGTGTGGACATCGAGACTGAATACAGCATTTAATAACGGTGTCACTGATACTAGGTTTAGAGGTACTACCTACCACCTTCATATTCCTGTTTAATATGTCAAAGGATCATATCTACTCTGGGCAACAGCACTTCATTGGGAGCTCTAGTTCAATTGGATATCTACCTTGTTACAAGGAGGAGGAAGAAAAATTATTCTCTTGAACCTGTGATGATAGGACAAGAAGCAATGGGTTTAAATTGCAGCAAGGGAGGTTTAGGTTGGACATCAGGAAAAACTGTCAGGGTGGTTAAACACTGGAATAAATTGCCTAGGGAGGTTGTGGAATTTCCATCACTGGAGAGATTTAAGAGCAGGTTAGACAGACACCTGTCAGGGATGATCTAGACGATGCTTGGCCCTGCGAGGGCGGGGGACTGGACTCAATGACCTCTCGAGGCCCCTGCCAGTTCTAATGTTGTATGACCCATCAACACTTTTCAGAGCAACTGCATTCCAGGGCATAGTACCTCCGATCGTGTGAATGACCTATACTTCGCATATCTAGCAGTCCAACACTTCACGTGGCTGTTGTAAAACAGAGTCGTCAACTGAGCCCATTTTCCCACGGAATGTAGATTACTCCGCACACCTGACACACAGTCCCCATCATAACGTACTGCTCAGCCAGACAGCACGAGACAGAATAGCTACTGAGCGATTTTAACCCCTAAGCAGGCCGCCCTGGGGATCCCCCCACAGCCCCAACCAGCGAAGGGGGATTGTAGGCCCCTAGCCCGGGGCCTCTGGGGCTGGATGTGGCCCCGCCCCGCCCCCCGGGCGAGGACACGCCGGCCGCATCCGCAGGACACAAGAGTCACGGGGCCTAAGGGC